CCATGGCTTTGTCCGGAAGGACACCGTTGAAGATCTCCTGGTCTAATTAGCATATTACCCTTTTATTAGTATAGATCAGGGGTCCTCAAACTACGGCCCGCGGGCCACATGCAAATACAAATATTGTGTTTGTTCCCGTTTTGTTTTTTTACTTCAAAATAAGATATGTGCAGTGTGCATAGGAATTTGTTCATAGTTTTTTTTAAACTATAGTCCGGCCCTCCAACGGTCTGAGGGACAGTGAACTGGCCCCCTGTTTAAAAAGTTTGAGGACCCCTGGTATAGATAATATGGCATCTGATTTTCTATTGAAATTTTGTTTTCAATTACAAAAATTTAAAGATAATATACTACTTCTTGCTTTGGTAATGGTATTGCTAACACATTGTCAACAAGAAATATACTTTTGAGTGATATATTTTAATAGTGATAATGAAATTTCACTAAACTGTCAATCAAAAGCCACTTATGGATAAGGCACCAAGCTTTCCTAGAGTGTTGCCTATATGGAATGGTAGATTTTCTGAGTGAAACTAGTACGCATATTTAAGAGTTACATGTTGTTGTTCCTAACAAAAATGGAATAAGCAAGCTTTAGTTTCCTTTGCTAATATCATTTTTTTATTTGTCAATATGACATTTTTCAGCTTTATACTCCTGCAGGTTTACTGTATTTCATAAAATGAGGATATATGGCAGTGATACCTAAGGAAAAATGATTAATATTGAGCTATTTTTTGCATCATTCCCTTTTTATACAGCTGTATATAAATATGAACATCTGCCTCTTCTCACTTATTATATTTCATGAAAATTAGTTGGCTATGTCTGAATTTATCATCAACTTCTTTTACCAACTGGGTATATTTAACAAGTAAATCTTGATAATAATAGACTATTTCATTAATGTATGATATTTAATATTTATTTTAAAATCAAGTTTCCTATTTCTGGCTTGTTTATTTAACATGTAAAATTAATGGTTTATTTGGACATTTTTTTTCACATTTTTGCTCACCATAAACTAAAACAATGAAAATATTTATTTATTAAAGCTAATTGAAAGAATCATTGGGAGGTCCCCACCCATTTCAGTAGGAAAAGCCATGCTTGGATAGTTCTTTTTCATGTTGAATAGCATTTTATAGATCTTTATTATTTAAAATAATAAAGATGTTTTTAGCAAAGTGAGTAACTGAATTTAACTTTTAGTTATAAGTATACAATGCCTTCTATTAGGCTTGTTTTAAATCTGAATATTAGTCTATTTCCATCTGGTCCACATGAAAAACTAAATTCTGCTTATTGTAGGTTGACCTGTATACTTTCATGTTCCTAACTATTCACACTAAAAAATAAATAAATAAGACATTTTTTTTCTTTTTAAGTTCACGTTTTTTGTAATTTAGAATTATGCCAAAGGGAAAATATATTTCTATGTAAATAGGAAAAAAAAAACCTTAGCCCTAAATTATTTCAGTGTGTTTGGCATTGTAGGGGACATTTACAGGAGAAATGTCTCTTAACAAAAAAGAGTAGCATGTTTGTAAGAAGATTATCTTGAAATACTGTTACAGGGACTAAAATCTTAGAACTCCAAGGAATTCTTGCATCTTCTTTCAGGCAGGAATTAACTCAATAGCAACTTCAGCAAGTCAGCCAATAAGAAACAACCAGAAAGCAAATTCACCTCTTTACCTAGTGTCTTTCGTTAGAAAATATAAAACTTCTCTTAAAATGTTAATAGTATCTACAATCCTATGTAATTTTAAATTATTTATTTTCCCAATACTATTTTTTATTTAAAATTTAAATTATTTGCCTTAGAGTGTTTTGTTTTTCCATTTTTAAATTTCCACTCTCAAAAATCTATTTATTTTTAAGTATGTATACATTCTACTTCAATTGTTAGATGAAACATGGAATTTGAGAACAAAATCAGTCTTTTATTCTCATACTGACTAATTAATTTTTTCAAAATTTGTTTATGTAATGTAGTGGGGGGAAAAAACCTAACAATAGATAAAGTAATTAGAATTAAAATTGGTCCAAAGATGAATGCAAAACACACCCTTGAAATATGTAAGTGTGCATATTCTTCCTCATGTTTTCTATTTCTATACATCCTAGTAAAGCCAGTTATATCAGAATTAAGGGTCTGTTTTCTCATTTTTTTCCCCATTGAGCAAAGTGAATTAAGAGCCTGAGCTTGATTTTGGTAAATATGAGCATTATTATATAAATATCAATAGAAATTATATTTCCAATTTAAAGCTAAAAAAAAAAATTAACAAAAACTGATACCTGCCTTTCCACTTCAAGCCCAGGGAAGGTGAGTGAGCACAACCTTTCTAGTTTTTACTACGCAGTAATTGCTGAGGTTGTTAGTGATGATTTTATTCTGCCTGAGCAGAGTGAGTCCTACAAGTTCACATGATGCCCCAACTGTGGGCTAAGTAAAGTTTTCTTATTCCCAGTCATGACCAACCTGCAAGAATCACTTCATGTGCGTACAAAAACGGCCCTAGCAAGTGAGGAGCAGTGATCTAGTATCTGATCCTCAGTTTATCTGTTTCCTGGTAAAATTTTCTTTTGAGCTTCCAATACCATCTTTTTATATCAACAGGTTATATAAGGATTAAGAAATACATATGCAACTGAAATTGTAAATAGATAACATAACCAGTATAAAGATGTAAACTAACATTTTTTCTGAGTTGTAAACCCTGAGAAAGATTAAGCCCAATAACCCTACATAATATCATCTACTGCAAGGAGCCTGCCTCTAACAAGAAATTGGCTCAACTACTTGACCTTGTTTGGGGAGCTTAATATATGAAAACATTCTTTAAGTGAATAGTGTTAATCAGTCTAACACACTATTTGAATCCTAATAATGACTGTCTTTGCTTCTATATCTATACGATAAAAATGGTAATATTCTGTTTAGGAAAATGACCCTCACTCCACTTGCTTATCTCATGCTGACAAACCCTCATTGATTTTAATTTGCCTCCAAGTTAATCACAAGGGAAACATGCAGACTCTCCTATTTGCTAATCAAAACTCTGGAAGTTATTCTAGACAATTCCCTTCCCTTTATTTCTAAGTGGTTTTAGCTCCTCACTGTGACCTTGTTCGGGTTTTCTTCATTTCCTGCTTGGAGTATTCATTAAGAAAACCAATCAACAATGAATATCATTCTAAACACAGATTTTGGTGCTGAGACTACATCACTGAAAAAGTATGGTCCCAACATTCAAGGAGCTTATGGTCTAGTGGCAGAGATGGACACTTAGAAAGGTGATTTCAGGAAAACGTTGTATCAGAGGTAAACACAGTGCAATGGAAGTGCCTTAGAGTCTCCTTTCTTCAAGAAAATAATCCTCGGCGGAGGAGCCAATCACTTGAATACACAGAATAAAAAGAAGGAATCTAGGACTCCCACCTTTGCACATCTTCAGCCAAGTGTTGAGCCAGTAGAAGTAAAATGTCTTGCCTCTTGTCAGTATCACCTCATTCTCTTAAGGATACAGGGTCTTGGGATATGGAAATAAATTAAAAAGATAAAATATCCTGATCTCACGGAACATTCTAGTAGAAAGATAAAATAAATAAAGACATGTTTAGGAATTTTAAAAAAAAAGAACCAGGAGAGGAAGTAAACTATGTGGATATCTGAGGGAAGAACTGGAAGAAACATACTTAGAAGAAAGGGAAGGAAGTCAGTGTGGTAGATGAAGTTGATCAAGGGAAAGATTAGATCAGAAGATAATGGGACCTTATCAGCCATTGTAAGCACTGACTTGTAGTGGGGATGTTTTGTAAATGGGTAAAAGTGAGGATGTGAAAAGGGCAAAAATATTGAGCCTATTGAAGTTATACAGGCAAAGAAAAGGTTTCTTAGATCAAAGTTGTAGCCACAGAAGTGGTAAATGGTCAGATTATGGATATATTTTGAAGGTAGAGCTGACAATGCACCACTAATTCTATTGGAAAAGAGAAAATGAATGAATGGAGTCAACAATGTCTCTGAGGTGTTTGGTCAGAGTAACTGGAGGAACAAAGTTACATTTATTGATATGAGGAAAACTATAAAGGAGCAAATTTTGGAGAAAGATCAGGAGCAGAATTTTGGACATGTTATGATTTCAATACCATAAATCTAATGGAAGAGATCAAGAAGTTTGTACACATAAGACTGGTAGAAGTCTAGGTTGAAGTCTTAAACATTTAAAATATTGCCATAGCAATGGTATTTCAAGCTTTAAGACTGCATAAGAACTCCTATGAAGTACAGGTACATAGAAAGGAAAGGAAGTATAAGAAATCTTAAAGGGTCTTCTTTAAAAAGATGTGAAAATATATCAAAAACATGAATAATAAAATGGCAATAAACATATAAGTCTATCAACAATTACTTTAAATGAAAATAGATTAAATTATCCAATTGAAAGACATGCAATGGCAGAATGGCTAACAATGAGACCTTTACATAAGCTGTCTATAAGAGACTCATTTCAAATTGAAAGACACACACAAACTAAAAGTGAAAAGGGAAGGACAAGTTA